ACACACACACACACACACACACACAATTAAATGCACTCTGCTTTGTTTAAGTACAAACAAATAAAAAAGATTTATAGAATCCTAATTATTAACATGGATCATCATGGTAGAACAATCAAACACAAGCGAGTGAATATTATAAACACACTATAGATATGTGTATATACATATTTATATATTGCAACATGCAGATGAGGAGACCCCAGGAGGTTTTATATTATATGAACACTTCTCAAGGACGCACACCAACATTATGATGTAGAACCTCTCACACGAGAAATGCAGCTCGAGCTGCTTCACAAAATAAGAAGAGAAAAATAAATAAATAAACAACAAAACAAATCACGAGAACAAAAAAACACATCCAGAACAAAAGAACTTGTTTCTCTCTTGTAAAATGATGACTTGCTTGTTATATTCAGACTTCATTCTCGACCTCTCTGAATTTTCTTTTCTTCAACACAATACTCCACCAGTTGCTCTTTCTCAAGCTGGAGAACGTTTGTGTGTTAAACTGAAAATAACAAGCCCAATCATGAGTCCACTCAATACTTGTATATGTGAGGTGAATGCTGCTGAAGTGGACTGTTTACAAATATAAGCTGATCTCCTCAGACCCTGAGCTGAAATCATTATTGATTGCCGACAGACCGGAGCAGTGATTGTGGGCTGGAGAACGTGGTCTCATCAGAGCGGCTGCATGTTATTACTCCTGCACGGTTTATTCAGCTCTCGATGTGTAACTCACGTGTATAATATTGTTCTGTGGTTTTTATGTACACGATCACACAGGATTTCTTCAGATGTATAAGATCACTCACTTGTTTGCTGTGCGTGTGTTTGTGTGTGTGTGTGCAGGCCATGTGTCAAAAGGAGGACATGGAGGAACGGATCGTAACGCTGGAGAAACGCTATCTGAGCGCCCAGCGAGAGTCCACCTCGGTGCACGACATCAACGACAAACTGGAGAATGAGTTGGCCAATAAGGAGGCGTTCCTCAGACAGGTCGGCAACTTCTGTGTTTTTTATAATTTGCTCCTAGAACTTTATTGAGATGATTTTCGGGGTCTTGTACCGTTCACAGCCAAACGTTCTCCAAGAGTTTCACTGGATTCAGGAGAATGAAGCGTCCGTGCAGCGGGTTGTGTCAGTGAGCGGAGGCCTTCAGAGCTGCTCCTCTGAGAGAAGCTCTTGACATTGTGTCAGATAATGTCAGAGGAAATTACTGCCGGGGAAGGAACTCTGATAATTCAACCCTAATGTTTACTTTGAGCAGATGCACTCGGCTCAAACCCGTCCTCATAATTGATGGAACGCTTAATGATGAGATCGAACCTCGGCGCGGATTCATTCCTCTTTTTTTGATGATTTCTCTGTGAGTCATTGCAGCCAATTAGATAAATTGCCCGTCCATACACGACTGAATGATGTTTTCATTGGCACAGGCTCGAGCACCAGCTGAGCTCTGGAGGGAGAGAAAGAATTTCACATTAACGTTAGCAGAAGAAATCGTAGATGCCACGAGACGCAGGAGCAGCGTTCACCTTTGATGGAAAGGAAGTAGACACCAAGCGATGATCTGTTGAAGGAGACGTGGGATGTTTTTTCGGTTTTATTTCCTCCAGCGTATCATGTAGGTTGTTTGTGCATGTAAAAGTTCTGCAAAGTTAAAAAAAAGTCCAAAGTCCAGGAACGGTGCACCGCAGGGGAAGAATGGAAAGTTTGAGGAAAGTGTTCACCACACATAAACACTCGTTGGTAGCGTAATGAGTTTACTTGCTGTTGTGCCAGCGGATGAGCCCCAGGATCTGGCCGCCGATGTTTGAAGATGACTCGTTCGGCGGGTGGAAGCTTGGCCTGTCGGTACAGAGGGACGACGAGATGAGATGAAAGAGTGCGGACGGGAGGGCAGCTTGGGAGGATGGTGCAACAAAAACACACTGTGGTGCTTCCACCCCAGTGTCGTCTCAAACACCGCTGGCATGGTAACACAGGTTCAGACAGAAAATATAAGTGACACACAAACAACACGACGCAGCTCCAGCCCGGTCCAGTCTAATCGTTGGATATTGAGCTGCCAGGCCCGGAGCTTTAGGGAGCAGAGTCACTGAACGATGGGTTTTTATTTCCATCTTTTTAATGGCAGGTGCTGTATCCGAATGTATAATCGGGGCGATCGCCTTTCTCTGCTGAGTAATAGTTGCCTCCGTCATTCTTGGCGAGTGCAGAGCTGCTGCTATTCTCACTGTCACGGTGCTATTTTGAAAGACGGGTCGAGGCAAACTGCCAGCAGCCGCTTCTCCTGCTGGAGACGGATATCTGTGGTTCTGTTTTCTACCAGGAGACCTCACCAGGAAAAGAGGGATGAGATTCACAGAGAAAGAAAAACTGTTTGTTCTTTTGTTGTTGCCATATTTTGTATTTTTTGCACCAGCTGCACAGAGTAGTTTAAGAACCAGATCTTTATTTCTACAAGTACGTTTTAATTCAGTTTCGTTGTTACAGCCACCGCAAATAGTCCTTCATCTCCTCCCGTCGTCTCGATTAATGCACATTCTCCGAGCTTGTTTTCCACCATGCACAGGAGGAAAGGATGAAATACAGATTGTCTTGAAATAACTTCATTCCGATGTTGCTCCTGTGCAGATGGAGGAGAAGAACCGGCAGCTCCAGGAGAGGTTAGAGCTGGCGGAGCAGAAGCTCCAGCAGACCATGAGGAAGGCCGAGACGCTGCCGGAGGTCGAGGCCGAACTGGCCCAGCGGATAGCGGCCCTCACAAAGGTAGGAAGACAAACACACACACACACACATATATCAACGCACATGATGTGACACATGCCCTCCTCTCTAGATTTGTTGTGTAAGTGTGCACATGGTGTCGTGTCATGACGTTTCAACGTGTCCCTCTCCTCTTCCTCGGCCACGTAGTCCGACTCCAGCTCCTCTTCCTCCCCCGATGATTATCACTTTGTTATGGAAGCTAAACTCCAAGACATGAACTCCATTCTTAGGAAGGTAGACCCACAGGGCATCACAGCTACTGCCAACTCCTGCAGGGAGCAGATTCCATTCATTTATCGAGTGTTGTGTGGCGAGCGTGTTTACTGGGACTCTGCTCTGGCTGTTCTACCAGCATAGGACAGCTGCATGGCTCTTCTGGCTGGAGCTCATCCTTGGCAGTGCTGGAGCGGCTCTCCTCCTCCTCCATTCTGTCCTTTGGTGGCCTCGTTCTCCATCTTTCCTCTTGTCACTCTTTGTTTCAACCAGCTCTCTCTCTCTCTCTCTCCAGTTCTGCTTGAAATAATAGATCTCCATCTTTGAGTTTGGGGTAGAGGCTTTGGCTTGTGTCGTTGCCACTGCTTTTGTTTTGTATTTGTTTTTTGTTGTCGCCCTCTCGGCCGTCAAACAAGGCAGATCATCGTACCCTCTTTTTGTTCTGTCTATGCTGTTGATCCATGTGTAGGCGGAGGAGCGTCACGGGAGCATCGAGGAGCGCATGAGGCACTTGGAATGCCAGCTGGAGGAGAAGAACCAGGAGCTGCTGAGGGTGAGTCACTGCGGAGGCGTCATGCCAGGCAGCGTTAACCGGGCAGCCGCTCCGGTGATGAGCGGGACAGCTTCAAGCGACTTTGATTGTTGGCACGTCGTCATCGATGGAACTTCACAGATTCATTGTCTGTCACACTCTGCTGACAGAATGGTTTCACACGATCACAGTCACGTTCTACAGCATCATCTGAAAATGTCAGATAAGTTGATCGGCACGGTTCAGACTCATGCTTTTCTCTCCGTGGAGCTAGGTGACGGCAGAATACACAACGATAAACACTGGTTTCACAACACAGAGTCTAAATAAAGATGGACGACGATTCTGTCATCTCGGGCTTCTGACGCCAGAACCACGGTAGCGAGGTCCAAAAACAACATTGAGCAGGTTAAACAGATGATTTAAACTCTGAATAAGAAAAGTCAGACTTGTTCTACGCTGAGAGGCAGTTCAGAAATAAACACCGAAACCGTTCACCCAAGACAAGACATTTATTTTTCCCTTTTAAAGCAGCGGTGCCCAACCTGTCAGTCTTTGTCATGAGATAACTGATGGGAGTATAGAGCCGTAAATATGATTTTTACTGCACTAAATAATATAATAAACAGTTTTCTAATAATTTCAGGTGTTCTTAAAGTCTTTATATATTTGACCCTTGTGTCATTTCTTCCTTCAGGCCCGACAGAGAGAAAAGATGAACGAGGAGCACAACAAGCGACTGTCGGACACCGTGGACAGACTCCTCACAGAGTCCAACGAGCGGCTGCAGCTTCACCTCAAGGAGCGAATGGCAGCTCTGGAGGAGAAGGTTCAATATAAGAAACAAATAAAAATCAGTTCTTTAAAAAACGAAACGTCAGGGATGGATTTCCTCACCTCTTCTTCCGTCTCTCCGCGTCTCTTCACAGAACGTGTTGATCCAGGACTCGGAAGGTTACAGGAAACAATACGAGGACTCGATCCACGAAAAAGTAGGTTGATGTTTTATCAGCATTTTACACAAGGTTGCCAGTTTAATAACAAGGAAATAATGAGGTTGGTTTGCTTTAGTTAAATTTTTTATAAACCCGCTGCTGAATATTTATGAGCTCTCGCATGGGGGGGGGGGGGTAATGAGATGAATTTTATGAGCAGCGTAGAAAGAATCAGAGTGTCAGTTTCATCAATATGAATTTAATCAGCTCCACGAGCCACGACACACTGTTGACGTGCACTAATGACTGCTGGGTGACGCACTGTAATCATTGTTCACAGGGCACGTTAACGTCACACACACACACACGCACACACACACACACACACATACACTGACTTGTTGTTAACCTGTTATTCCCAGACGCATCTGGCAGAGGAGATTGAGAAACTGAGATCGGAGATCGACCAGTTCAGACTGAGGGCAGGTTCCCTCACAGAACCCACCCTGTCAAGGTAGACTGTCCATGTGTGTGTGTGTGTGTGTGTGTGTGTGTGTGTGTGTGAACTCTCTGTTTTATCTCTGAGCTATTGTTAAAAACACTTGTGTTACTGACTTCTTTCCCCTTTTTTTTTCTCGGATGTCTCCCGGCTTCCTTTCATGACGCATGAAGTTCTAATACTACCACACTGATGTTTTTACTGCGGTAATCTCCACAGTTTGGATAATTAAAAACTCTGATCCCTCCAGAAGTACGCACTTGAACAGTCGTGTTCGCTTGAGGAACCAGAGAAAACACCAGATTTAATTGACATCACTGTGAACATCACAACCTCATCTTTTGTCATCAGCTTCACAGCTCAGGCAAAATCCACGTTTAGGATCTGAACACGAATTTGACTTGAGATTCAGTGTTACTTAATAAAACGTGTCTCTCTCTCTCTCTCTCTCTCTCTCTCTCTCTCTCTCTCTCTCTCTCTCAGGTCTCATCTGGACACGTCCGCCGAGCTTCGATTCTCTCTGGGATCTCTGGCTGAAACCCAGTCGGACCACTACCGCTCGGCAAAGGTCATCCGCCGGCCGAGGAGAGGTCGGGTGGGTCTGCGAGAAACCAAGGTGAGGCGGCGGCGGCGTCCGTTGTGTCTGCCCCTCCATCGCCGTTCTTCTTCTACTACCTCTGATAGTATAACTACATTTTTAAGTCTAGGGATGGTTTATTGGTTTTATGTTTTGGTGCAGCTCGTAGAAACCGCCTCATGACCCTGAGGCTGTAAGGATTAAACTCCTGAAAGGAAAGTCGTCGTTATGGTAATATCATTAACCTTTGCTGAGGTTTCTACAATCAGATTAACATCTTGTCCTTTGGTTTAGTTCAGAATCCCTCCATGTTTTAAACCACTTTTAACTGAAACATAGTAGAGACTATATGGGAGGAGAGAAAACCACCCAGAGTCCCTGCCTAAATGATAATGATAATAACAATGAACCTCATTTATATGACACCTTTAACAACAGAGTTACAAGGTGCTTTACGAGATATAAAGGCAAACAACAGGAAACACTAAAAAGCAATTTGAAGATCGAACAGCACAGATACAGAAATAAAAAAAGTTACAGAGGAGAAAAGCGTAAAAACAAGAAGATAGAATAAAACATTATAAAATGATTAAAATAGATCAGAACGAGGAGAAAGCTATAAAAATGTGTCTTTGAGAGAGATTTGAAAGGAGTTTTCGTTTGTTACCTCATCCTTTCACCAGGATTCATGGAAATCCACTTGGCTCTGACAAACGAAATAACAAAAGTGAAAACATGTACTTTCAAATTGCAGTAATATATATATATATACTACATAAACAGGATTGCGCAGTTTATTTATATACTGCGATGTTCATAATCTGTCCGTGTTTGTCTTTGGTCAGGCTAAATCTCTCGGGGAGCACGAGTGGCGCTCACAGCAGCTCGGCGTTCTGGGCGGTCACCACTTCGAGAGCGACACCGAGATGTCGGACATCGACGACGACGACAGGGAAACGTTGTTCAGCTCCATGGACCTGCTCTCACCCAGCGGCCACTCCGACGCACAAACTCTGGCCATGATGCTGCAGGAGCAGCTGGACGCCATCAACAAGGAGATTCGGTACAAATTTAAGATATAAAATCATCATCGCCAGACACATCGATCTGCTTCCTTCACTTATTGCGTTCTTAATCCATTTGACTCCAAATCCACTTAGCACGTGATGTGGTTTTAAGATGGTGTCCCAGAAAGCTGAGCCCTTTGGGATTCATGATTCTGACATTGAGGTTTTATTATGTCTTCGCAGTACTTCTAACTCATCCTTGGCTTCAGAATGTGTATTTTATCAGAAAGAAACCTGCAGCGTGATGGTCATATGTTCTAGAGACGTGTATTTTCTTCTAATATCACATTTCTTATCACTGTTGAACTCTGAGTTTCTGGAAATCTGATCTGCTGCTTGCTTGTTAATGCTGTAATTATCCCGCGCTGCTACGTATTCATAACCTCAGGCACAATTTCACAGAGTTCTTTATTTCAAGGGTTCTTAATGTGCCGTTTGCGCTTTCGCTGATCTACAAAGTGTCACATTTCTTCCAGGAAGCTTTAATTCAGACCATAGTGATCATGCAGCTGTGGAGCCGAGCGCTCAGCTAATTACGGAGCCGGACCCGGGGCAGGGTTAAAAACTAATGACCTGACTTTCAGCCCTTTTATTTTTGTCTGTGGACTTTAATTAGTTTGTCTTATTTACTGGAATTAGATGCAAATCTCCAGAAATCTGTATCCAAAGCCTCTCGTGGATCAAACTCTATCGTGGTGTCACTGATCAGTCTGAGTAATCCAGGATGATGCACAGCTTTAAACCACATGAGATCATTTATATTTGAGCTGTTCAAGATATTTACAATAACACACTAGGCAACAAAACCCACCAGCAGCTTTTCATCGCGTCTCCTCCTCCTCCTCCTCTCTCCGTGTCCCAGGCTGATACAGGAGGAGAAGGAGTCCACGGAGCTGCGGGCGGAGGAGATTGAGAATCGCGTGGCCAGCGTCAGCCTGGAGGGGCTCAACCTGGCCCGAATGCACCACCACGGAGCCTCCATCACTGCCTCGGCCACTGCCTCCTCCCTGGCCTCCTCCTCCCCACCCAGCGGACACTCCACCCCCAAACTCGATCCCCGGAGTCCTGCTCGAGACATGGAGCGTATGGGGGTCATGACACTGGTGAGTTTCACGTCACAGTCGTTCTCCCAAAGTGGTTTTTTTTGACCGACGATCCGAATCTTGTTCAGGCTTTCGATCCTCTTGGATTGTGGGGATTTAAGGAGCCTCCTGCTCAACCATCACCACAACAAATAAAATCCTTTCACAGGATGTGCAGATCTTCTCTCTCCAACCAGTACAACGAGGAGGAAGGTTGGAATCTAACGAGTATCCCTGCGTGCTCGGCTGTACAGTAAACACGTTAATCTTTGAAGACTTGCTGCATTAAATTTGCGTGCAGAGAAAAGTGGTGACAGAAAGTGTTCTGCTCCGTCAGCTGACATGTGCAGGTGTCACGGGGTGGTGGCCTACACACACACACACACACACACACACACACACACACACGTCTCAGAATAGACGATCAGTTGAGTTCCTCTCTACAACGACCGGAGGCTCAGACGCTCCAGATGAGCCCAACAAAGTGGAAGACAAAAATATTCACACACGCCTCCACATCCCAGGATGTGAGGGGAGGACTTCTTTATTTTCTTCAGGCGCTCTCACAGGAATGTGAATTCATCGATTGGTCAAATGATTTGTTTTCTAATCTGCGTCCGTCCCACTTGTATCGATCTGTGAATTGATGCTCTGGTGTTAGTTAGAGGCTCACGAGCCGCTAATGGTTCATGATGTTTACACCAACGAGCCAATCGTCTTTCGTTAGTTACCAACGTGTTTCTGTCCATTCTGTCACATGAGGATATTGACAGTTGTCTTTTCCTTTTCACATCCAACAGCCCAGCGATCTGAGGAAACACAGGAGAAAGGTTCGTCTTGTGATTTTTAATGTGACACTAACTCACTGGATAAATAAGAAGCTTCTCTCGGCCTAAAGCATCACGTTTCATGTTTTTTTTTTTTTTTGTGTCTTCGTCTTCCAGATAGCAGCGGTGGACGAGGACGGTCGCGAGGACAAAGCCACCATCAAGTGTGAGACATCCCCCCCTCCAACGCCACGCACAGTCCGAATGACACACACACTGCCAGCCTCCTCGCACAATGACGCTCGAGGGTAGGTGTCAGCCGTACGAAGGAATAAGCTCATTTGTTTTAGAACAGTGTGAAACATGAAACGTCTGTTTTCATCAACAACGTTTTGACCTTTTGAGAAATCGTCTCTCAAACATGCCGCCTTGTGGCGTCCCTCAGGATCGTGGCCTCCCTGGAGGCTGAGGCCAGCGCCCTGAGCAGCGTCGCCAGCAGCCAAGACTCCCTCCACAAGCAGCCGAAGAAGAAGGGAATCAAGTCGTCCATCGGGCGGCTGTTCGGCAAGAAGGAGAAAGGCCGACTGGCTCACCTGGCACACAGACAGGTCATGGTCGATCCACAAGGTGATTGGTGCTCGGAGAGGTTTTCCTTCTTCGTGTGTGGTGGAGTTTTAATAACATATTGATTAACGCAGCACGTCTCAAAACAAAGTTACGACTTGCTTCTTCCGTTTTTCAGCAACCATGATGGACCCGGACATGGCCGGCCAGGACATGGGCGTGGGAAAGCTGGGGACTCAGGCCGAGAAGGACCGCAGGTTGAAAAAGAAGTAAGCTGTCTTTCAAACGGACCCCCGCCCCTTCTCAGTGGTCCTCAGAACAGAAATGTCACCCTGGCAGTATAGTCTCTTTAATAGTGGCTCATCATCAAATGACCACATCATATCCAAAAGTCTGGAAGTCGTCCGGCTGGAGGATGTTTAGATCTATACAAACCGTAGCGTTAGCGTCCGCCTCCTGCACCTGTACTCTACCACATGTAACACCACGACACTGGGAGCCGGATCGATAGAGCGGCCGGATCAGAATCCAGGAGCAGAGATCAGCTCCACTGTGTTCAGACGCACCGGCCAAAGTCAGAGTATTGATCCGAGCAGAAAAGCCAATTAATCTCACAAAGCTTCTTCTTCAATTTGGAGGCTGTTTCCCAACACAAGCCGTCCGTAGAGTACGCTTCACTGCCAGGCTGGGTGTGTTCTGCCCTCTAGGAAAAAACGGGGGGGAATATCTCTTCTCTATCTTTCAGACAGAGTGTGTGTGTGTGTGTGTGTGTGCATTTGCCATGCCCCAGTGCCAAATGATGGATGTCATTCGCTCGAAGTGCACATTGACTTGTCATGACGAATAACTTTGCCTCCCCCCCCCCCTGTAATCGGTCAATAGCGAGTATTGTTCGTTCGTAATGTTGACAAACGTGTTGTTTTCTCCTCCACCGCGCCGACTTCCTTCATAGCAGTGTCCGGGGATTAAAGCCACGCCTCCTCCACCACCACCACCGCCGCCGCCACCACCTTGCATCTTGGCGCCTCCTCCTCCACGCTGCATGCCATTAAGCTGCCTGCACTATTTCCATTTCAGCATCTTGAGTCGATCAATGCCGCTGTGGTCTCGTTGTGGGTTTTTTGTTTTTCCTCCCTAACGACAAATATGTGAATGTAACGGAGCATTTGAACGTGAGGTCATGGACGGCGGGTGGGGGTGGGGGTGGGGGGGTGCATTTCTCATTTCCTCTGCTGCACGAGATGTGGTCAGGACTGCATTGTAGAAGACAACGTGTTTGGACTGGTCTACAGATGCTCCTGCGAACGAATGCCCTCCATTGTGAAGTCTACGTGTGCGAGTGCGTGTTTGTGCGTTTTTTTTTGTTGAGATCCACGCGGATTAAATGCCAATTAACTCATTAACATGTGTGTACTTTTGTCTCCCCCCCGTCGCTCTCTCTTTCTCTCTCTCTCTCTCTCTCTCTCTTCTTTGACTCTCTTCCTCTCCTCCCCCTCCTCTCCCTCTCATCACCCTCTGACTCTTACAAAGCGGGTAAGTTGTGAGGATGTGAAACTGAGCTCCTGGATAATGAAAACTGTCTCAGCCATACCGCCCTGTCTGTCATCTCTCCTGTCTGTCCGCCACATCCTGTCGCCACGCCCCCCCCCCTTATCTCCTGAATGACCAGTGCCAAAGCTGACGTCTCTTTATCTATTTATCTCTCTCTCTCTCTCTCTCTCTCCTTCCTTCATGGCTGTTAACTACACCATTGCTTTCTTTCTTTCCTTCTTCATTTACCATCTGAAGACGTTTCTTCCCCCCCTTTCTACAGTTCAGTTTCAGCAGCTGCATCCTTGGCTGGACAGAGAATGTGCCGCCGCTAAAAAAAAAAAAAAAACACTGGAGTCCAATTTTTCAAACCCGGAATGTCTTCCTCTCCTTATACGTGTCTCTCTCTCTCTATTTGTGTGAAATAACCAGCTGCATTTTCTGGTTATGGGAATGTTTTGTTGGTATGATTTTATCATAACTGTTTCCTTACTTCCCTTCTCCCCCAGCTATGTTCAGTGGATGTATTTCTCCATGCATTAGACCCGACCTGAACATAAAACATGAGCTATCTCCCCGCGATAGACAATGAATGTACCCGGTTGTGTTTGGATGAACACATTTCTCCTGTCACCTGTATTTAAGTGGCCTTTCACGGCTGCGGCCCTCGACGCTGTTATCATGTTATTACGAATCCCACTCCTTCCATTTGTCAAGATCTTTGACAACATACTCAGGGAATGGGTTGTTGACTCAGTTTTTTCTTTTTGTTATGAAATGTGTTCACTAAATAGAATAAGAAGTGGCATTGTTTTTATGTGTGGGTGTGAGTGTGTCCTCAGCTTGTCAGGCATTTATTTATTTTTTTTTCCAAGGCCGTTCTCCACGAGTGTGGGAGGATTCGGCGCGACCGACCGCGAGCGTACATTCGCCGTCGAGCAGGTCGGCAATCGAAATCGACCCCTCTCCCCGGTTTCATTTCAGGAAAACGAGAGGAAAAGTTACTTTGAAAAAATAAAAATAAAAACGCCCTGCTGCATTATTCACAAACTGCATCAAGTAAAGTAACAGTGCAGAGAAAGAAAAATCTCTCTCAGCAGAATAACTCCTGAGTGGATGAACTGGGATGAGAGGGGCAGCGGTGCTCAGATTAGCTGTACGACACAGAACTTCAGCCCTTTGTGTATTTATGTGTAGATTTTAAAAACAAACATAGAAAATACGAGAAGGGCACTCGGAGAGCACGTACATAGATATTAGCTTTCTACACATGGCTTATTTCATTCATAAAGATCTCTGCATTATTTCACTACTTTGGCAGAAAAGAGCCTAAATATTTTTAAAATCTTACAAAATGAACAAGAGGAAAATAAGATGACTACCTAAGAGAGTTAGAAAATTAATAATGTGCAAAAAAAATACCATGAAATAATGTTAATATAAATATCCAAGGATACACATCCTCTAAAAGTAAATATTAAAAATACAGTATGACAGCGACGATGTAGTCAGAGACGTTTAAATAAAGCAAAGCCTGTGTGAGTCTGTGTGCACGTACAGTGTGTGTTTGTGTGTCTGAGTGCAGCTACAGTGTGTTTCTCTCGAGGGATGGATGATAAAACAATGCCCCGCTCAGCTCTTATTTGTGAGATGTTGTGGGTTCGCTCCTCGGTGTGGTGTGAACAAACGCACACACGGTGACGACAGTGTCGCTGCAGCGTCTCACAGTGTGCAGGGACGAGGGTTGAAGATGATGTGGTTTTATATCAGAGTGAATGTGTTTATGATGACGATGCTCAGCTTCACGTGTTCACACCCCGTCTCCTCTGTCCCCGCCCTCAGACACGAGCTATTGGAGGAGGCCAGGAGAAAGGGTTTACCTTTCGCCCAATGGGACGGCCCCACTGTCGTCGCCTGGCTGGAGGTAAGAAAAGTAAAAATCACCGTCAGACGTTTCCACAGGACCGTTCTTGGAATATCTGAAGTTACTCAACTGTTTTCTAAAAGGCTCTTTATTCGTCACAGCTCTTTTATATATCGCTGAGTCAATTATTCAGTCGTTACAATGATGAGTGTTGGAACTTCACTGATCTTAAGAATAAACAACTTGTGATGAGTTTTGGAGGAGAAAAAGAAAAAACATGTAGGAACACTACTGCCCCCTAATGTTTAGAGGAGGACGTACAGCCACAAGCCAAATCTTGACCCCTCTTTATCTCCCACATGAATGTTCACCAATCAGCATGGAGTTAAAAGAGTCATGAAATTATTAAGTTTAATAATTTCATCTAATGTAGGGTTTTATTTTTATTTTCTAAAAAAAAATCTCTGCTGAAATTTAGGATGGTGTTAAAAAATATTTATTTGTAACTTGTCTAGTTTCAGTCTCGCTAAACTCAACGTTCCGTGTCTCCCTTTTTGTTTCCTCTCCCGTCCGTGTGGTAAAGCTGTGGTTGGGGATGCCGGCGTGGTACGTGGCGGCGTGCCGAGCCAACGTGAAGAGCGGCGCCATCATGTCGGCGCTCTCCGACACCGAGATCCAGAGGGAGATCGGCATCAGCAACCCACTGCACCGGCTCAAACTCCGCCTGGCCATCCAGGAAATGGTCTCCCTCACCAGCCCCTCAGCCCCGCCCACCTCCAGAACCGTGAGTCCAATGGAAAACGTGACGGACACAGAGAGAGAGAGACAGTTCAGTCTTCAAGAGACATTTACTGGAGACGTTTGGAGGAAGGACAGTTTTAATTTGAGTCTTTCAGAGAATTCATTGGGAAAGTTGCTCGTTAGATGAACAACGCTCTGTTTTATATGAAGCTACAAAGAAGCAGCTGATTAGCTTAGCGTTAGGAGTGGACGAGGAGGAACGGCTCTGTCCAAACGTTCAGTAAAAATCACCACCTCCTAAAGATCTTTTTTAGATTTGGTTTATTGACAATAATATAGTTATTAACTTTGTCAGGGAGCGATCGATAAAGTACAATCACTGACCTCCAACCCACATCAAGACTTAAGAGTTTTTAACTATAAAACTCAAGGTCAGTCGATGAAAGCTCAAGTTAAGATGGATTCATCTGTTTAATCTGTGTAAAAGAGTAAAGATGATTAAATCATGTTTACTTAGTTTGCGTTAGTCGTGTCTTAGACCGGTCGGTGCGTTAAGTCCCACTGACGGAGCCTCGTTAGCAGTTTACCTTCTTTCCTGTCTTCATGCTAAGCTAACAGGCAGCTAATGTTAAAAACAACAATTGAATTTCTTCCTCCAGAGCAGCTCTGCCCGAATGTTATGACGACTGAACGTCCTCTCTGCTCACATGCACGACTCCTCCACACACGGGTGACGCCCCTGTAGGTGGGTGACAGGAAGTGATCGGCCGCACCGACATAATAACAACAACAACAATAATAATAACCTCCCCGCCCACGTGTCAGTGATACTTGTATTTATATCCCAGCATTAAGGGCGTGTGTGTGACAGTGGGAGTCGGTGACGGCCTGATGTGTAAAACATCGCACCAGCTGTAATTTAGCTCGTTGCTCCCTGTTGTCATGGTAATTGCACATGGTCTCTAAGGACGCTGCTGCTCCTGAACGATAGACGATGTGTTTTATACTGGAGGTGCACAAACTACGCAGACCGTACATCACAGACACGACAAGTTGTGTGCTCAGAACTTTTATACAATAACATCTGTGCATGTAGCCGCCATAACTCATAAGCTCCTGGTTCTCTCTCATACATCCCCCCTGTGTCCCCCCTCTCTTTACCTCACCCTCTCCTCTGCCACTTGGCTTCGCTTCATGAAATTTTCATTATGGAGCATGCGACAAACTCCCCCGACTGTGACGGAGCTTCTGCCTGTTGTCACGATTAAAACCCCCGTGCGTTTAACGGAGGGAGTTAACTGACCTTGTTGTGTTTGTCCGAGTAGAAAACTGAGAGAGAGAGAGAGAGAGAGAGAGAGAGAGAGGGGAAGGAATCACTCGTTCAATAACCCCTCGTGCATTAAGTCCATGTTCAAACCATTGACTGTAAAAAAAGATGACAGTACAGCAGCCAGCCACTGTCGTCCATCTTTATTTACAGTCTTGACCGCCGCTACACAACAACACGGACAATAATTATAGTGGAATAAGCATTTAAAGGGTCATTCACACAAATTACAAAAGAGACAAATCTGAACTCTAGGATTTTGCAGCCATGTTTTAGAGACCTGTCTTATATCTGTCTCTCATGATGTAACGTTAGTGTGGTGGTTATTTCTTTATGAACAAAACAAACATGACAAACATCTGCAGATGGAGATAATATGATTTCATGGCTAACGCTGCTGGAGTCAGGGTTGTTTCCTGTGATTTGACTGATTTGACCTCTGCAGAGGAACATGTGTGGTTCACGTGTGTGTTGACGTTCATGGTACTAACTCATTCACTCTGTCTTGTCGTGCACGGCCACTGTCTGTGTTTTCTGTGTTCGTCCATCACAGACTGTAGCTGAACATGTTCCCGGTACTGTTTGTGGTTTTTGTTCTCTGTATTTGCCCTTTGACCCCCGGTGGGTTCAGGGGCCAGGTCATCATCTGACTGTGATGCTTTAACACTATTGGCTTACAGTGGTGCTGCTCTTCTTCTTTAACACTGCTTGCCCCTCCTGCCGGACCTCTACTACCAACCCTGCTGCTGCTGCTGCTCTGTCTCTTGGGCTCTGCCCCCTGTAGCCGTCAGGCAATGTATGGGTGACCCATGAGGAGATGGAGACCATGGCAGCCCCGTCCAAAACGGTCAGTCCCCCTGTGTCCCTCACCCCCTCACCCCTTCTCTTTCCCTACCAGTCGTGTGTGTGATTAAATGACTGATAAGAGGAAGCATGCGTTGGTTTACTCCGTCGGGGATCTGTGGACGTGGATCTTGTCTCTTTTCCTCCTGAAGACGTGAAATGCAGAATTTAACACAGAGTTCTGACGTGCAGTGAACTGAGTATTTAGGTTTTTCCATCTGTAATAAGAGCAAGAAACTGTCTCCACGATGTGTTTCAGTGTTTCCTCATAAGGCTGTCGCTCCCGTCGTATAGAGATCAACATGTATTATTGACGTACAGGGATATTCTGAACCTCCTATCTGGTTCCAGGGACAACAAACCTAAAAGCCAATCTTGAACCATTTCTTCCAGGGACACAATTTTAGTCCATTAGGATCCTTTTTTTCCCCAAAATGCAAACTGTCGGGTCAGGCAACATCTGAGAGTAAAAGACGCCCCCTGAGAGCAATTCAGACGCCATTTAGGTTTGAGCTATTTCTGCTTTTTTCCTTTACTCAAGTTTTCCTCGAGCTATCTTGAAAGCTGCTTGTGGATTTTTCAAGGTTTGGGAAGAGGAAAGTCTCTTCTGCCTTCTGGTTTTCTTGTAGACGTAGGAGTTAGACAACCGACTGGACACTGGGTAACATTAGAATATTGTGCAGCATTTATCAGACAGTAGCAACGTTAAACCCGCCCTGCTTGATTTGTCCATAACCCTAAATTCAGCATGTAATGTCATCGGTTGGTTCGGCTGTCCTTGTGTTATTCTGGTTGCAGCTGCAGGATTTGTCTCAGAGCGATCACATGGCGTTGTTTTTTCTTTTTCCTTGTGTTTCATCCAGAAATCCGACTCTGAGGAGGGGAGCTGGGCACAGGTACAACACTGGTTCTGCTCAAACATCAGCTAAGAGTTTTCTTTAGAGGTTCTGAATGAATATCGTGTCCTCCTCCTCTCAGACTCTGGCCTATGGCGACATGAACCATGAGTGGATAGGGAACGAGTGGCTGCCCAGTCTAGGACTACCTCAGTACCGCAGCTACTTCATGGAGTGCCTGGTGGACGCCCGCATGCTGGATCACCTCACCAAGAAGGACCTGAGGGTGCACCTCAAAATGGTGGACAGCTTCCACAGGTACTCAGGACAGAAAAGCATGAGTGGATTTCAGAGAGTAGAAGTAACTCGTGTAAAATGAGGATGAGGGCGTTTTAGTTCTGTGAAGTTATTTTCAATCGCATGACTTTTTGTGACTCCAGAACAAGTTTACAGTACGGAATCATGGGTCTGAAGAAGCTCAACTACGACAGGAAGGAGCTGGAGAGACGCCGGGAGCAGAGCCAGCATGAGATGAGAGGCGAGTAGAACCGAGATTACACAATAACGTTGCACCTCCAAAATGTTTAAGAGGGAGATTCAAATGGTAACGTGATGATTTTCTTCCTTGTGTCTGCAGACGTGCTGGTGTGGAGCAACGAGCGAGTCATCCGCTGGGTGCAGAGCATCGGCCTGAGGGACTACGCCAACATCCTGCTGGAGAGCGGCGTGCACGGAGCACTGGTCGCACTGGACGACAACTTTGACTACAGCAGCCTGGCACTGCTCCTCCAGATCCCCAATCAAAACACTCAGGTACTAGAGTCACGTCAGTCCGGGGATTTTAAATAATGAATTACCTTACGGGGACTAGTTAATACAGTTGCCGGTGACAATAGTTAGAGCAGCAGGAATTTCATTACATTTCAAAGTGAAAATAAAACTTGATTAACTGACGTTTCTCCTTCATGGAAGCCGAGAACACCTTAAGTTTTTTTAATTAGATTTTATTCACAAGATAAATAAAAGTAAAGTTTGGAATTTTGACTCATTTTTCTATCACCAAACAGTGAAGGAGTTATTTTTAACATCAGCCAGATTTAAGGTGCAGAACATGGACAGAAATATCTTGTCAGCACCTCCAGTCCAGAAATAGAGGAATGTTATCAGCCTTCAGAAGCTGCTGCAGTCGAAATCAGAAACTGAAGATTTGCCAACTGTCACCGTGGCACTCTGCCCTGCGAGTCTTCGCCGCTCCTCTACCCTCGGATAAAATGGATGCGCGGTGCAAATAACGTAATGTGTCGGCAGCCTGTGCTAAAAATAACCGACGCTGTGTTCAATGTGTTTTTATTTTTCCCTCCTTGTCTCAGGCACGTCAGATTCTGGAGCGAGAGTACAATAATCTGTTGGCCCTGGGCACCGACAGGAGGCTGGACGAGGTAAAACGTCAAAACAAACTGAGCCTGTGTCGATCATTCCGGAGCTTTTGCAAATATTATACATCCACCAACCTTATTGATATTCAAGAGGTCAAACATAATTTATTAGCTCACACTCACAAGAATAAATTATGTATTTAAATGTCTCATTTACAAAACCGGAGTCTGCACACTCTTTTTTTTCCTACATGTCCAGTCGGTGTAATAGTTCTGAATTATTCATGCCCTTTGTTAAAGATGCTGAAATCCTACTTTGCGTCTCAATTCACTTTACAGTGACCTCGGATTTCTATATTAATGTTTTGAAAGTAGACGGTGAAGCTTTTTACAGTTAGTATCAACAGTAAAACAAAGACCCTGCACTCAAACCCGCCTGGATGAGAGATTCACCTCCAATGGTTCTCATAAGAGGACAAATCTTTCTTTTACTGAAAAACAATTTGGCTCTTCAGAAAAATTCATTTAGGACAGAAGCTGATGCATGTTTCCAGAAAGACGGGTGATAACATACTTAAGCAGGGACTGTTTGAAAGGTCTTCTACAGAAACCGTAAATGAATCTACGTTTCCACTAAGAAAAGATTTGCAAAGAAGAGTTAGTCCATTTAATATCTGACTTTATTACAAAACAATTTAAAACTGCGAAATTATTCAGCCCAACATTTTTCAAGAACATTTTTCACACACACACACAAAACAGAGTAAAATCTTGAAATTCTCTGACCTTCACCTCACAAAGTTGTGGCGCCATCGTAAAGCTGCAGCGAATTGTCAAGTTAACACGTACATTCAAAAAGAACAGAGGTGAAACAACACGCTGACTGTATTTATACATATACATATACATTACATCTGAAAACAACTGATTTCCTTTTTTTGTCGCTCAGTGTGACGACAAAGATTTCCGTGGTCCATCATGGAGGCGACAGTTCCCGCCCAGAGATGTTCACGGTATCAGTATGATGCCCGGGTCAGCAGAGACTCTCCCTGCTGGTTTCCGTCTCACCACGTCTGGTCATTCTCGGAGGCTGCCCCCTGAGGGTGAGTACCTCCATCTGCACCTTTTCAGTTTAGGTCAAATCAATATGTAGGTGAGGTTTGTTGTAATCTTATTGTGCACGAGTTAAAGCTGGTTATCTTCTGCAGTGTGGCTTTCAAAGTTAGCAACAACACAAAGGTTTTGCTGCTCGTGTAGATGGAAGCAGCACAGCTGAACTCAGGAGAAGCTGCTCCTCGCTGTTTTGTGATCATGTCTCTTGTTCTCTCTGACTCTGTGACGGCTGCTCTGCAGTCCTCTATGAGGCGCTGGATGACAGTCCTGACGACATGTATTTGGACTGGTATCAAGGTCAGATATGTCCCAATGAAGGTTCTGGGCGTGTTTGCCCTGCGTGTATTATTAATATTCTACATATAATCCCTCCTCCTCATGGTCTCTTCCAACCACTGTCCTGCTGTGTCTTTGCTTTTCTCTCTGGTCTCTCACCCTCATCTTTCTTCTCTTACCCGTCAACTTCAATCTCTCTACTCATGCAGAGTTGCAAAAAAGTTGTTGTCTAGTCCCCCTGGTGGTAAAAGCTAGTGAGTCAAGTTATGGATTACGACCCATGCTTGCTGGTGTAACCATTGAAGTTACAGAAATTGAGCAGCAAAACAAACGGTGGCTGAGCGGTGCTATGTAAGTTGGCCTGAATCAGGAGGTTTACATAGGTGACGTCTTGGATGTTTCAAGAACTCAAACGGAGCGTTTGTGTCGTTCCTTGTTTCCCTGCTGTTAAGAGAACACTGGCTGAGAGGGCTTGGAATAAAGGATCATTTGAGATTTATTACAACTAAGTTCATTTTTCTATTTTTCCAGTTCTTTTTGTCCTCAGAGCAAAGCAACCTTGATTTAACAGACAGAGCAAGAAACACAAGCACTCAGACTGGAGGTAAAACTGAGAGTCGAGCGTTAACACGTCAAGCAATACTTTGATTTATGTTTCTGTTTCTAGATTTTGAAGCCATGTCGTTTTTGTTTCTAGATTTTGAAGCCATGTTTTTGTTTCCAGATTTTGTAGTTTCTAGATTTTGTGGTTTCTGTTTCTAGATTTTGAAGCCATGTCATTTCCGTTTCTAGATTTTGTCGTTTCTGTTTCTAGATTTTAGTTTCTGGATTGTTGTTTCTAGATTTTGAAGCCACCATTTCTACATTTTATCGTTTCTGTTTCTAGATTTTAGTTTCTAGATTTTGAAGCCCCATTATATTAGTGTCGTTTCTGTTTCTAGATTTTGTTTCTAGATTTTGAAGCCATGTCGTTTCTGTTTCTAGATTTTATAGTTTCTGGATTGTTGTTTCTAGATTTTGAAGCCCTAATATAGTGTCGTTTTTGTTTCTAGATTTTGAAGCCATGTGGTTTCCGTTTCTAGATTTTGTCGTTTGTTTCTAGATTTTATAGTTTCTGTTCCTGGGTTGTTGTTTCTAGATTTTGAAGCCCTAATATATTAGTGTCGTTTCTGTTTCTAGATTTTGAAAACGACAAAATCTAGAAACAAAAACGACAGTAATATATATCGGGGCTTCAAAATCTAGAAACAACAATCCAGAAACTATAAAATCTAGAAACAGAAACGACATGGCTTCAAAATCTAGAAACAAAATCTAGAAACAAAAAAAAAACCGACAAAATCTAGAAACAGAAACAACATGGCTTCAAAATCTAGAAACAAAAAACCCGACAAAATCTAGAAACAGAAACGACACTAATATAGTATAGTATGACTTCCAAAATCATGAAAAATAGTATGGAGTCCAAAATCTCCAAAAAACAACATAGTATAAGTATGATTTCAAAATCTAGAAACAAAAACGACAAAATCTAGAAACGGAAACGACAAGGCTTCAAAATCTAGAAACAGAAACGACACTAATATAATGGGGCTTCAAAATCTAGAAACAAAATCTAGAAACAAAAACGACACCAATATACTAGGGTTCAAAATCTAGAGACAGAAACCACAAAATCTAGAAACAAAAACATGGCTTTTTTGAAGCCATGTTTTTATGAGTGTCGTTTTTTAGTATATTAGTGTCAAAAAACAGTCTAGAAACAGAAACGACACTAATACATTAGGGCTTCAAAATCTAGAAACAAAAACAACACCAATATACTAGGGGTTCAAAATCTAGAATATTTTGTCGGTTTTGTTTTTTAGATTTTGTTTCTAGATTTTGAACCCCTAGTATATTGGTGTTGTTTTTGTTTCTAGATTTTGAAGCCATGTTGTTTTTGTTTCTAGATTTTGTCTTGATATATATATAAGCCCTAATATATTCCTGTCGTTTCTGTTTCTCAATTTTGTTGTTTTTATTTGAAGTCATGTCGTTTTTGTTTCCAGATTTTGTCTGGGGTTTTCTTCTAGATTTTGAACCCTAGTATATTTTGTCGTTTTTGTTTCTAGATTTTATTTCTAGATTTTGAAGCCATGTTGTTTTGGTTCCTAGATTTTGAAGCCATTTATATTGGGGC